CTTATCCAAAGGTCTGAGAAGACTCAGAATCAAGGCAACAGAATCTTAGAGTCTTAGAATCTTAGAATCTTAGAGTCTTAGAATCACAGGATGTTAAAGCCAGAATGGTCTTCAATGATTATCTATTTGGGTCCAGCCTTCTATATAGCTGGGGAAACTGAGGGGCAGAGAAAGGCAACTTGCCCTGTGTCACAGTTAAAATTTTGGTAAAGCTAGAGCTGGAGCCCTGACCTTCTGATTCCAAGTTTGTCTTTTATACCACATCACACCATGGGAACTCTCTTGCCACCTCATCTCTGCTTCTGGGGTTTGGGATTCTGTCACCTGGGAACAGAAGCTTCGAGTCCAATAGAACAATAACCCTTGGAGAAAAATAGAGAGATCAATGTTTTTATTTCATAACTGACTCTCCTGAAAGCAGGATTGGATGATGGGAAGGGAGAGAGGGCAGAAGTATGCTGGACACCTTAAATGGAGAGGCAATTAGTAAGGGAAGGGCACACAAAAGAGAAGCTGACATGGGGGAGGGGTAGAGCATTGGAGAGGGAGTAAAGGTACTAGTCAGGTTCTCATACCATAGAGGGATAAGTGACCAAAGTGGCCAACATGCATGCATGTGACTCCCCCCGGGGCTGGAATCAGCACTGCTCAGTGACCAAGTCAGAGACCTGGAATTGGGGTTCAATCTGTGGTCAAGGTCTGAGGACCAGGGCTCAGCCTATGGCTGGAGTTGAGACTCAGTCTGGGTTGGGATCAGGACTCAATCTGTGGCTGGAAATAGAGCTAAGGATAGAGTAACCTTTGTTTGAATAACTGCCACACATGTTCACTGGCCCTTGGCATTTGTGGGTCTGGGCCACCTCAAGAGTCTACAGACTTGAGGATTTCCATCTGTTGGCATCACTTCTGCAAGCACCTGAGATGTCACCAGTAGACAAAATAAGGCTCAGGGAAGTGAAGTGCTTTGCCTCAATTCATACTGCCAGTAAGTGACAAGTCAGAGACTACAAGCCCAGTCTATCTTCTTTCCTTTAATAAATTTGCTATGTGACTGTGGGCAAGTCACTCACCTTTTGGGGGCTTAGTTTAACTATAAGGATAGGAAAACTGAGGGGTAGAAGCAGATGACTTTCAAAGTCTCTTTCAGCTCTGACATCCCAGAATCTTTACACCTCACCTTAACTCAATAAATCTGCTCTGTTATTTCCAGTCTGTGTCTAGAGCTAAGCTCCAGGCTATGGCAGAGACTGAGTACTGCCAAGATCCAATGAGAGGTATGGACCTGAAGGCCAGTGGAGGCACAGAGGAAGGAGATCAGAGTGGATCAAGTGACCAGGGAAAGTTTGCTGAAAGAGGTATGCCTAAGCAAGGTGACGGGCTGACGAGATACGGAAGGCAAAGAGGAGGGCTGTGGGTAGGACATGAGCAGTCCTGCAAAATGATCTGATTCTAGGGCATCTTTCCAAGATGCAATAAGGGCAACGATATCTGGAGACAAACCCTGGGGGCTATAAACGATGTGCCAAGTGGGAGAGGCAGGCAAGGAGGGCATCCTGTGCTAAATCCCTTTTAAGAAACAACAGGTAAGTGTTAGGAGGAAACCTTCAGGGCTCAAGAAGGGGGAGGAGACATTTACTGAGTACTAGGCATTGTACTGCGCACTTTAGCACAGGCACCTCCTTTCACCCTCTCAAGAACCCTTTGGGTTCCAGGTGAGTATGTGTCTTGGACAGATGAAGAGGTTGAGTCTCAGTGGTATGAAAAGTCACACCACTACTAAGGGGCAGAGTCAGGACTTGAACCCAACACTGAGTTCTTTCCATTACTTGTTACTAAGGGCTACTAGGAGTCTCATGCTGTTTGCCGGCAGCCCAGGGACGACCAGACATGCAGCCTGCCTCCTTGAACAGAGACAAGAATGAAACAAAATCCAACCTCACCGGCTCCAAAAAGTCACATGCAAAAGAAAGGCAGAGATGGGGGAGCAGGGCTGTGGAGAGGAAAGAGCACTAGGCTGGGAGGTGGGAAACTGGGGTCTTCGTCCCAGGCTCTGCCCTGTGTGACCTGGAGCAAACCACTCTCCCTCCTGGGCCTCAGTTTCTTTACTGGGTATTTTAGGATTTGAACTAAGTTCCTTCTTTCTTATTAAGAGAATCTTTGGTTTTGTTTTACACCCTCACAGCATTCTGAGAAATTGGTAGGGGATGGGAAGGGGGTCTACCAGCCTGTTTGGAGGGCAGTGAGGAAAGTGAGGTTCAGAGATCATATTAACTGTGCGAGATTACACTGCATTCAAATGGAAAGCGTGAATTGGGGAACTGATATTTTTAAAGAGCCTACCATGGGCCAGCTAGTTGCTTTACATGTTTTCTCTAATTTAATCCTCACATGAGTTCTGAGGTTTTTACTCCCATTTTATAGATTAAGAAACTGAGGTTCAGAGAGGTGCCCTCCATGCCTGCCTCCCACCAACTGGTATTCAACAGATCTGGGAAATGAGGGCTGGTTCCTCTCACCGGGCCCTGCTGCCTCCCAGAGTCTCGCTAGTCCAAATCGGGGCTCCTCCCAGACCCCGTGGGGCAGGGGAAAGCACAGGACTTGGAACTGCAGAATTCTGGCTTGGGGTGGCTCCTAGCTCTGTAAGCTTGAGCAAGTTTCTGCTCTCAGCCTAAGTTTTCTCATCTGTAACATGCAAATAATACCGACCTCCTAGCAGTGTTGTGAGGATCAAAAGAGGTAACTGAAGGGGAAGATTATCCCAGTTAGCTGTTCTGTCTTTCCACCAGCCCTCTTTAAAAGGCAGCAGCCTTTTCTTCATCACACCCTTGCAGCCAAACACACGGGGTCCTACTTGGAATAAGTGTCCCCCATCCCCAGCCTCAAAGCACGACGCCCAGCCCTCTCTCAAGCTGCCCTCCACCCTCAGGCCCAGGACAGCGGCCCCCGTGGCTCCGAATCCGCCGAGCTCCCCACGCCTCCCAGTCCCCGGCCCACACCGTCTGCGGAGCAGCGCCACCCTTCCGACGCAGGTGCGGCCTGGAGGGCCCGCAGGACACTGCGCGGCCCCAGTCGCCCGCACTTTCCCGCACATCCCGGGGGCTCGCATCCCTCCTCTGCCCCCCCC